CGCGCGCAAGCGAAAAACAAAGCTACTCCGAATCGATTATTCGTCCTTTTGTTCCTTTTACGCGCGGCGTGTTATTAAAATTCATTCGCCTTTCCGTTCTACCGTAAAATTCGTGTTTGTACAAGGTGCTGCTGCTGGATGACTAGCCAGTGATGGGAATTCAATTAATCGCCGTATTTATCGGGCGGATATGAAATCGAAGAGAATAGGTCGGAATACTTACCGCCCGTCTATCGATTGGCAAAATACGAACGAAAAAGACTTAATTTCGAGAACTTGGTTCGCGAGGGCAAACTTTGGGAGCCCGTTACGTGCCAGATAACCCGAACTCGTTTGTCGTAACAGATGCGCTCTCTCGGTGCATCTGGCCCCGCAACCTTGGCCAGAAAGTTTGAGCGATAATTGGGTCGTATGAATAAAGCGGAGCGAATCCTTTTGTTTTTATTTAGCGAAGGAGATGCGCCTTTGTTCGCGTCTATTCGTCGAACGGATGAAAAAAAAAAAAAAAAAAAAAACGAAGAAAAAGTTGCGAATGAGAAAAGTTGTATGTATCGTTAAAAAAAAAAACGATTAGAAAATTGTAGAAAATTCCGGAAAAGAGAAACCGATCGAATAAACCGTACAGATTATCAATTTAAATGAAAATTTTGCTATACGATTTAGCGAAATCGGGAGAATTAGCGAGAAATTGAGATAATAATTTAACGCGCAAATTGAGGATATAATTGATTGCATACCCGTACACTTTTGCCGGTGACAAAGATTTTCGCTCGGATCGTTTGGATTCCCATCACCGCTCGATCCCACGCAAAAACCCGAGATAAGAGGGACGCGGACGCGATACGTCGATATTTAAAGATACAATAGTTGATCTACTCCTCCCCTGCCTCTTTGCCGCCCTGAAAAATACAACGAGGGGGAGGGTCTAATGAATTAATCTCGCGTCGTGTAGAAAGAACATCGAAGAACATCGATATTTCGTCTCTATGAGCTCTACCATCTCTCTCTCTCTCTCTCTCTCTTTCTTTCTTTCTCTCTCTCTCTCTCTCTCTCTCTCTCTCTCTCTCTCTCTCTCTCTGTCTAGATACATATTTACAAGAGAACTCTACGAGGAGCGAACACGCTAATAAAAGTCTCTAACGTAACGTTCGCGGATGCAGCAGGGAATCCAGAAGCGGCATATCGAAATAGCTAGACCAGTGATGGACACAGAGTTTCCATTTTCGCTATAATTTCGAGTGCATGGTATCGGATGTTGACTCGTTAATCGTTAATTGGATGAATTACGCGTCCAGAGAATTGAATTAATAATCGTATAGCAATTTATTGTAGTTATACACACAATAAAAATATATAATATATTCAGAATATATATATATAACGGGTGTATATATAGTACTATATGAAATATATATATATATATATATATATATATATATGTGTGTGTATATATATATTATCGATATAATATTATTAACCGTGTGCGCGGTCAACGTCGTCATGTTTTAATGGTAATTAATAATATTATACCGGCGCTATAACATATTACTACAAGCGTGTTAGAAGAATTGCGACATTTTGCATTGCAGAGAAGGTACCGTATAATTCACCGTCGTCTGTTGACCCCTCCAAGAACACCGAGCTCCCTTTACCGATCCTTATTGCGGAAACAGCCGGTGGCTTGTGCAGCTGCTGCTTTTCAGAATCTTTCTATTTATTTTTCTCAAAAGCCTACAGTTACCTGCGCGACGAAAGCTGGTTTCTCGTCGACGCCAGTAACTGCAGTATCAGCCACATGCAAATTATACGTGTTGCTAAACATGTAAAGTATATATTTTCAGCAGCAATATAAGTAAAATGGGCATTAGCAAATTTTTCTATGAGAAAAAAGGATGAAGACTTAATTTAACATTTTTGCCGAGTCTAAAGTCAAGGAGAAAAAATTTTGTTTGACCATTTTCTCGGTGTTCCTGCAAGAGTCGATGCTTTATTAAGAGGTTTTTTTCTCGATAAGGCCTGATTACGTCCAACACTGTCCAGACATCCAGTAACCGCCCGTGGAAGCTCACCGAAACAACGGTACAATTTTAAAATCTCTCGCTTCATATCGAATATTTAAAGCCCGATCGAAAGAGGCTCCACTCGTCGCCGTCTCGCGTGTGTTTTTTTTTTGCGATTCTTATGAAAAAATACTATATATTATACACACGTATATATTTTTTCCCCCTTTTTTTTACGTACTACATCATGATTGAATCATGGGACCTATACAATGGATCGATTGTGTCGATCGTTCAAAAATATCTTTAGAGAAGCAACGCGGCGCGAATGCGCGCTACATTATGTACATGTGTAGGAGCATCCTATATATATATTTGTATATTTACATAAAAAAGAAACAAAGCCGCACATACATACAAACATGCATACACACACGCATACGTACGCTGCTTTGCGCGCATAAGTACCTTTTTTTCTCTCTCTCTCTCTCTCTTTCTTTCTTTTTCTCGATCATCGATCAATAATTCGCATGCGCGCAATTTATTGTGTCTTCAATTTGTACTTCGCGTGTACTGCTATGACAGTTGAATTTTCGAAAGACTCTCTCTACGCACTAGGTTCTGTATATTATATGTACAATATAGTGCATACAGTCTATTTGTAATAATTTGTCGATTGTGAGATACATACTACGGAAAGTTTCGAAAAATCTTTATCGTTTCTTATCAGGCTTTATTGGAAAAAACGCTGGACTTCCCGAGACCAAACGCGAGATTTCAATAAAATTAATTATCTTCTCAGAGAAGATCAGTTCGGGAAGAATTTACTTCTTCCGGGCAATCGATCGCGTAATTGTCAATTAACTCTTGTCTTTAACTTTTCATTTATTACTCTTTAAAATCTTGTGCAATTAAAAGATCGCGACAAGAAAATTGGTACCGTACGCTAACTTATATGTACAAATTCTCACTTTTTCGCTCTTGAACAAAATCGATCAAGTGCCTGAAAGGTCGTTTACCATAGTTTTAAAAATTTCTCACTTGTAGTTTCGTATCTTAAAAGTTAGCACCTATAAAGAAGTCTAAATTTCGGTCGCCCAGATGAGAAAATATGATCCAAGCTTCAATCGCGCACGAGTCTATTATTATCGTTAAAGAATTGTACTTTGCCATCTCGCACTCTGAAATAATCTCGAAAAATGTTATTCTTCGACAAAAAAAGCAGTCTCAATATCCAAAGCGACGTCGCTTGTATCATAATATACTTATCGATATTTCTTCTGATTGATAGCTTTCTTAAAGTTTAAAATCGTCGCGTTGATTTACGTCATTCTCCCATTTATGCTGCGTGACAGCTACCTACGATGTTCATTATATATAACACCTGTATTATTGATCTGTAGTTTTCAACAAACATTCAATTAAATTTAACGGTTTATTCCGTTTGTCGCGATCTAGTTGAGTCTCCTTTTTTATTTTTTACTTTTCATTATCATGGGATTTATATTAATTATATAACAACTCACAACATCTTTCTGCAATGTTTGATCAGTTGAGAGTTATTCCAAACTGTCGTCTGGGTGAATTTTTGTTGCTAACAGTTAGTATTGGTAGGAAATTTGCTGTTTATTTTTTTTTTTTTGGAGTCACTGAGATTCCTTGGAGAAGCACGATTTTTTAAGCTTGCGCATGTATTTTCATTATAATGCTCAATTATAAATTGATATCCACTCTTTCGTATGATATAATATTTAATTAATAGGGTTAAAAATGATCAAAAAAGAGACCGAAACTATCTGACTAATTAAAGAAATCTTTTGAAGATAACTTGTTTCCTGTTTACCGTGCCTGAGATTTTCTCAATAATTTATTTTTTTAACTCGTTTTAATATTTCTTGGACTCTTTATTTATTTATTCTTTTATTGAATCTCAAAAACTGGTAAGTACGATTCGATCTCCAATAATTATAAAGACATAAAAACCGAGTATCATCTGGACTTTTTAGCTAATATGTTAACATTTTATTTTTAACAAAATTTTTTTGATAAGCTTTTTAATTCATATCTTTTTGGCAATTTAAAGTAAATTTGCTTCACAATGATTTAACTTTTAGTTTGTCAAGAGTCTCCATTGATTCCCAGTGAAATTCAGTGTGTCAACATTTGTTTGAAAATAATTCCAGTATTAGAAAAATACACGATACGCGTATATTTCTAATCAGCTGTATCTGGAAAATGATAATCGAAATTCATCATCTTGGCCAAATGCAACAACATTTAGTTGCACGCAAATAGAAAAGTCATCGGTCGATCCGTTTTTTACGGCTTGTCGCAAGAAAGAAAAAGATAGAAACTTGAATGGAAAATTATTTTTATAAATCGATCAAAGTCAACTATCAATATCTACACATCTATCAATATACAGCACCTTGTTTCGCATCACTACGTTTGTAAAGTATGTCAGATTTTCTTCTCGTAATTATACATGTAAACGAATATGCTACTAAATGAATCGGCAGATAAGCGAAATAGTACGAGGGGGTGATGCATTTAATTAATCTAAATAAAAGAAGCTCGCGCATGACATGCGCGCTCATGTGGCTTGAAGTTTTTGATACATTTTCAATGAATATGTGAATAACTCTGCGATTTTGAGTTTTATTTACAATATTAAAAAGAACTAACTTTCTCTCATTTGTATAGTTTTTAATCGTATCGTTCGACTAATAACTGTCTAAAATAAGAAAAGAATTGTTTATGTCACGAGCTCCTTTTATAAGTACATTTTCGGCCATTTGGATCAGCTTCGAGTCTCCGAATCTGAAATTTAAGCTACAATAAATGTGAATTTAAAATTATAATCTCAGAATTAGATGTATATATATAATATATATATAAAATTAATATAAAATAAAATAAAAGAAACAGTTACAATTAATTTTACATATATATATATATATATATATATATATATATATATATATATAATTGTAACTGTTTCGTCTATTTTGAACACTTGATGGGAGCATTAAAGGAAGAGAAAATTCACATAAAAAAATCAAGATGAAGCATGAATGCGCGTAAAAGCATGAGGCATTCAAACTATAACATGGCAAATAATAGTACAACGAATAATACATTATATATGTCATCACAGCACATAGATAGCTCGCTGCCCAACGAAAACGGTGACACGGATCAAGCTCCGCTTACTTTGGAGAAAATCAAAGTTAAAGTTGTCGGATTATTAGAGATTATAATTTTAAATTTTTTTTCAATATCAAATCGATATCGTCAAATCATGTTAATTGTTCGAAGAAATAGCGGATACCATTACTCATCTTTTCGAGAAGCTTTTCATTTATCGTCATCGATTACGATAATATGACGAAATTTTCCTTTTTTAATACTTTAGCATTTCATTAAGCTTTATTAAGAAAACTCTTCCTTCATTAAGAAAACCTTTCCTTAATTAGCATTAACGCATCAGTTATTTCTATCGTTGCGTAATAGCTTGTCATATCACTCGGATAATTTTTCAAACTTTGCAATCAGCTGTGCTTTTTACATAATTGATTTTTCTACTTCGATAGAATTAATTTTGTTATTATTTCTAGATCAAAGATGTCTGGCTGCATCACAGACTACGCAAACATCTATTATATAAACATAAATACGATATCGATTAGATTATTGAAATACGACGTGTCATGTTTGTTCAATGACAAATCGCTAATGAAATTCTCCACAAGTATCTCCTCAAGGAATGACTCGAACATCACCTTCGTTTCGGTTTCAGCAAATCTATGTTATTATCGTACATTTGCGTGCGCTGTTAAAAAAAAAAATAAAAAAAATTTAACTATTCGAGCGTGAAAATAGTATGTGCACTCCCCCTTTCGGTTAACGTTTGTCAGCATCGCAACATTATTATTACTCAGGTCATTAACTTACGGCTTAAAATTTATAAGCTGTATTATAAACTCGAATCTAATTCGCTTTTTCGTAACACGGTTTACGTCAGCCAGCCGTGTGCGCGCAAATATTAGACACGCGTTGTTAAAATCATATTTACAATATGTACACTAAATAACTTCTTATCTCAATCACTTCCGCATTTAATGCCACTTGGTGTGATTATTGCATCGATCCACTGTTTTTCTCTTCTTTCCCTCGCTCGCAAAATATAAGCGTAATGACAGTTCGTAAAAATCGAACAGCGGTCGGACCGCATTTCGATGATAATTTTTTTTTTTTAATACAAGGCACAAGTATTGCTTGTTATGAAGGTCAAAAAGATTGCAGGATACAAAGTTTGTCAAAATTTATATTGGATATGTCGTGCACGTTCAGCAACAACATATGTCTTATTTCTTAATCAGGTCGATTTTTTTCTCTTCTTTCACGTATCGTGACGATCAAAGATATTTTCGCATCGATATCGAGTGAATAATAATCGGATTTAATTGGTAGACAATTAGTTGAGTATTCTCGCGAATAAAGTAATGCTTGTGCCTTGTGGATTTTTCATCCAAGCAGCGCTCTCGCAATAAAATGTGATGGAAAGAAGAAAATATTATCGCCTACATTTTTATCAGCGTATGCTTCGAAAATTCATTTTTTTCTACGCAAAGTGCGTGAGCCATTTGTTCTCTTTTTTCCTTTAAAAGGAAAAAAATTTTGCGGAATATTGTTGTCATTAGCTGATCGCGATTAAGTAATCCCGCTTAACTTAATCGTCAGCTTAAGCTGTTCTCATTCTTGTAGAATAGCCGTGACTCCAGGTTCATATGTCACTGTAGGATGCGAGTAGAAACCAGCGTAATAGTAATAACGATCGTTGTCTTCGTATCCCTTTTGATGTCTCTGCCACGCCTGCAGTATTTTGTTATAATCCTCGAGCGACAACACCTTCACCTTGTGCGAAATCGTCTGCACGTCGTTCGAATCGCTGTGCTTTGATTCGAACAAGCCACCCTGCGCAAACAAATAAACATTTGTTATTATTCGAATTTGCGAGCCTTTATTGACAAGTGTTATGTCAAATACGAAAATTTATTTGTTTCAAAAATTGTCTTATTTATATATACATATATACATATATATATATATATATATATAATATATATATATATATATATATATGTATAATCTAAAATAAAAAATAAAAATTTGTGTGGTTTTCTACTTTTAATATCATGACTTGATATGCAGATAATAATGAGAAATTTTATAATAATATTTCTTAATCTTCTCTTTTTATTTCAAGAGTTTTATTTAAATATGACAAGAGAGAAAAATTACCGGAGGATCCAGAATGCAGGGCTGCTGTAGCTCTTCGGGGCGATAGAACCACTGTGATCTGACTCTCATCTCCGATTTCTGATTCAACCAGAGCGACACAATCTTGCCGATGTAAGGTTTCTCGTGCGGCTTTCGATAAGAATAAAATAGCACGCTGTCGCCTATGTTTATCGTTTCTCTGCCGCGTCGTATAGCTGTAAAGTATTGGTTCCCGCCAGATACGCGGCTGCCGCTCGCCCATTTCCAATGGCATTTGTTGGGCAGCATGCGGGCTATCGGACTGGGTGTCTCGACCGGATTCGACGGAGCGGGATGATTCGTTTGGACAGTAGCACGATTCTTCGAGGTGCGATTCGCGTTGGTGCAGTTTGTTGAAGCGGCAACCGTCGTCGAGGTGTTTCTCGTCGCGCGATTTGTCGAAGCACGATTTATTTTGGAGACGCGATTCATTTTAGAGATGCGACCTATCTTAGAAATGCGACGAGCAATCTTAGACATGGTGCCGCGTATCGAGGTGCGATTCGTCGAAGCAGCCTTTGGCCGCATTTTCTTCCGGGGTGGTTCTTCTGGCGGTTCTTCGGGTTGTTCGTCGTTGGCCTGAACGTCTTCCACCGATTCTTCAAAGTCCATCTGAGCCTCCTCGTACACTGGAACTGATTCCGACGGCTCCTCGGCCTCTGTTTGAGTCTGCTGAACGATCGGTTCTGACGGCTCTTCGGATATCACTTCGGAAATCACATCATTCTTTTGGACTGATTCTGGTGGTTCTTCAGGCTCTACTTGAGTCTCATCGTCTTCCTGAATGGTTAATAACGAGCCTTCGGTCTCATCATCTTCCTCGGATATCCTTGTCTCCTCGGCAGCGGGAAAATTTGTACTCGGTAAGTCTGTGATTGTTTCCTCTTCGTTTCTCTGCTCCTGACTGTTTTCCCAATTGCTAAGAATTATAAGAATATATTAATATATACAGAATATAAGAATTATAGAGTACTTTAACATTTAAAAATAATAAGATAAAAGAATAAGATAAAAGAGAAAAGTTCAGAATATCGAAAGCTGATCGAAACATTATTTTAGAGAAATAAATTTAAATTTATTATTTAAAATAAATTTTAGTATTTAAAATAAATTTTACAAATTACAATCATAATTATATAAACTGGAATTTTAATTTTATACTTCCTGAATGCATATATTTTTATGTCTTTAAATAAATTTTCTATCTCCAATAGTTGGACAAAGTATAAGCCGCATATAAAGTTGTTCATAGATTTTAACGATCAAACTCTTTGAAACTTTAATAAACCGTTTATAGGATATTTACAGGGCATTTTTTTCTTATTTTTATTCATAGAGAGCACGACACAGCCATTAAAATCTAGAATATGTTTACGAAATGTATATATGTTATATGCAATAAATTACGACAGCGTACCTTACGCTGCTCGTGTCACCAAAGCCGCTATGATGTCTATGCTTATGCTTCCGATGTTTTCTATGTTTATGCCTACGATGTTCCTTGCGAGACCTGTGTTTCCTATGCTTCTTCTTCCCTTCCTGAGTCTCGAGTAGCCTTTTCTTTTTTATTTTCTTCATGTGCTTTCTCCTACGGTACTCTGTGCCACTTGTACTACTCGTTTCAATGTTTGTTTCGATCTCCGCTTCGTTAGCACATTCGCTGGTGTCCACTGTGGATTCTCTTACGTTGGAACACACTGCAAAACTATTGTTGTCGGCTACTCCGTTTGTCGGAACGGCTTGATTGCTCGCGGAACGCTTCTCCTCCGAAGAGGACATTTGTCTGCGTCGTTGTTTGCCCAATGAGAGAAGGGGATTCGGATCATATTCTGTAAGATGATAGAGATTAATAAATATGAAGTGTTTACAATGGACCGAACAGCGGCTAAAGATATGCATATATATGAGATACTTGCCTACAAGAGGGTAATTAGGCTGCAACAATCTGATATCGTCCAAGATAATACTACCACTGTCTCCGTCATCGAATTCCACCGTAACATATTTCTCATCGTGCACAGGATCAGGTTCGATAGGCTCGACGGAGGTCCCCGGATACAAACATCTATACTGTTGACTCCAATACGCGCACAATCTTGTGCCGGGCGGTAGCTCTTTTGTCGAAGTCGGACACACTTCCACAATCTGCGGAATAAATGAAAACGTTTTTATTTTTCGAAAATAAATTGTCAATCATAAAAGTTTTATTTCCTTCTTTCTCGATTATGTTATACGATTTTCGAAATAGAAATCAAATAATGCTTAAAAAAATAAGTCTTGGGTGTCTAATAATAAATGGAGTAAAATAACCTTGTGAAGTAACAAGTAAAAAAGTGTATCATATTTTTTTCTACTATGGAAATCATATGGACATTTGGCTGCGTACTGTGACACTTATATATGTGGATTATAATAGTTTTATGATACATAATTAATTATAGTATAGAATATTACCGTTTATTATTTCGTTCATTATAATTACTTTACCAATTATATTTTCAAATTTTGAACGCGTTTGAACGAATGCATACATGAATACATATATGAATGCGTAAGAGTGAGTGTCTTTTAAATTTCATGTAATCAAATAGAGAACGACTCTGTATCATCTTTCTCCTTCTCTCACTATTATTTATGATTACCGCATCTCTCAGGATCTCTTCTCGGGAGTAAATGTGCGGTTTGTTGCCGCGTTCGCCGTCCAGCGTGATAGCGTAAACATCGGGAGCCTGCACGGGGCTGAGTCTGCCCGCGTAGAAGAGGCCACCGATCGCCATGAGGACGCGCAGCTGATCGATCATTAGATGAGCGGACGTCAGCTTGCATCGGTTGACGATAGTTTCGCTGGTCCTCGCGACGGCGGCGGCAGCGCACTGCTTACACTCCAAGGATCTGCGCCGTTTGGATTCCTTTCGGTCGTGGCTCGGCGACTGCGAAGAACTGGACTTTCGCTTCTTCTTCTTTGACTTGTCGTGCCGCGATCTTTCCGGCTCTTTCTCCGATAGTTGCTCCACTGGCATCTCTACCGGCGTTTCCTGATAGATAATTAAAATTTATAAGAATAATTGCCTTCCTTTCGCAAATTTCATCAGTTTTATCTGTAAATATGCGTAAACAATAAGGATATAAACGATCAAAAATTACACTCGTTAAAAATGCAATTTTTGGTACAGAGAAGTCATACAATTGTAAAATAAAATTTTGTGTTAAATCTTTTAATTCATTAATTTTCTTTATCAAAGATACGATGTTTTCAAATCAAGAATTTATAAGTTTCTAAAAAATATTTCCTTTAAATCCTAATTCCCTTCACATGGTCTGTCTCAATGACATAACATAACAATGATTTCCGCTACCTTGACGAGTTTTTGAACGATAGGTTCCTGAGGTGGGACGTTCTCAGATGGTATCGTATCGTTTTCGTCGTCCTCCCAATTTTTTACCTTTACCTGTGCTTTCAGCTTTGGTTTTACTTTACCGCCATGCTTCTCAAGCTTCAATTCTTGGCTCAGTTTCGCTTTTTCAGCGATAATAGAACTAATCACATTTTTGTTATGTAACGGAGTCTGCTTCGCCGGCTTTGCCTTCGCTTTCATGATTTTCTGTATCTTGGATGGTGCCTTTGGAAGAGGCACTCCGGATTTAAATGGCAATGGTGTATAGCCGGTTCTGTTGTTTATGCATTGCTGAAGACGAAAATAATTATACATTAAACTTTATCAAATGAATAATGTGTGTTTGGCGGATATTAAGATATATGAACAAAAATTAAGCTTTAACGTAAATTTATGAAAATAAGTCTCTTTACTTTGGTTTGTAGATGTCTGCTCTTTGAAGATAGCACGTAACCCACTAGAGAACTCTTGCTCTTGGGTTTCTTGGCGACAATTGTCTCCGTCAAGTGCCTGACGCTACCCGAGGTGCACGTGAGTTTCCTCGGTCGTCCTACTTTTCTCTTTTTGGAAGCAGAACTCAAACTCATGACAGTCGGCGCTGGTGATGATGTATCGTAGCCCAGCTAAGTAAACATTCATAATTATCTTCTTAATTGTTTCAATTGCGACTAATGTTTACTGTGATTTGGAAATTTTATTTATCTTTTGAGATAAACAGATGATTTATATTTAACTTTGGATTTGTATTCCCTCGCTTTCCTTTCTGTTCTTGTAAATATTTTGAATTTATTATATTATATATTATACTAATTAAATCACAACCGGAATACGCTTCCATGGCTAATTATTCTACTTTAATATAAAGCATGTTAAATATCAGTTTTTTTGACACGCTAATTTTTATTTGGGAAGAGCATTTATTCTTGTTATAATATTATTTTATATTTGTTGATTATTTGATTAAATATATTAGAACTTTATATATATACAGAGGATTTCATGAGAAAATCGACAGAGAAAATATTATCCCATCAATATTCTAGAAGAATTCGTTCTAAACAAAAAAAATGCCGCGGGCGTAACAATATATATGTATATTATAGATCAATTCGGTTCAGTTATGAAGTTGACAATATGAAAAATTTAATTTTTGTCATTAATCTTGTAGCATGGCTCGATCTTCTGATTTATCATCTTTGGACTTCCTTATGAGAAGTTGTTTAAGTCTCGTGTACAATAATGGTATAATGGTAAACCATCAACAATTAGATATAAACAATTTTATTAATATTGTAACCAACAAAAAGTATTAGACATTAAAGCCGTCAATTAATTTGATTAAATTCAATGCGAATACTACTATCTATGATCTCTATTATTCTGTTAACCAACTATTGATGGATGTCTCATTTATCGTCATTATACACGAAACTTCAAATAACCCCACAAAAAAGAATCCAGAGGTGATAAGTCAGGATATCGAGCAGGCCATGATATAGAATTGTTATTTATCAATGTTATTGACAAATAAGAATTAATCAATGTTATTGACAAGTAAGAATTAAATTTTTCATATATCTTGAATCTAAATTGAATTAATATATAATGCAACTTTTTTTTATTTAGAAAGAACTTTAAAATACATTCTAAAAGTTTGTCAGTTTCCTCGCAATACGCCCTATATATATTTGCACATGTATATTTATTTATTGTGAATTATTTATATACACACATTTTTCTATAAATTATTAAACAAATATACGTATGTGTTTTGAAAAAAAAATCGGAATAAATTAAAAATTTTATTTCTACTGAAAAATTCAACAAAATTCACTTTTTTGGAAAAGGAACATATTTTTTAATACACATTGTACTTTCTAAAGGAAGTTTAGGTCTATAGAAATCGATTGTGAGCAATAAATAACTTTTCCAATCCAATAATAAACTTTTTGCACTTATTATTTAACACATTTAAATTAATACATCTTCGATAACTGTTGTCTTTTTCTTTTTTCTTCTTTTCTACTTTATCTCTTTTTATTTTCGATACGATTTTCTCATCAATATTATATAATGATGTATATATAAGTAGAATAAGAGTTAAGTAATGTATTCCAAATAAATCACTTCCCGCTTGTAAACAGGTATATAAAATTATCTCAAAGCTACACAAGAATCTCGGCATTAATCTACGTACCGTTCCTGTACTTTTCTCGTCATCTTCCGGTATTACTTTGCTAGAACTAGGAACCGGCGATGTTACTGGCGGTACTGATATCGGGATGCTGGGTATGTTATCTAGAAGCTTTATGTGGCTTCTAGGCTCGTCGAGTTTAACAAGATTCACGTTACATCTCGGCATGGCCAGAACGGCTGAAGCTAATGGCGGAGGTGCGCCGTCCGGCAATTCCGATGACCTTGACGGCGATTTTTGCAATGGAGAGTTCATGGGATCCATCGCGGGTGGCGGTGACGACAATATTCCGTGCTCGGAACTAAAGAAGTCAATCGATAATTGAATTATTCGAATTGGAAACATCAAAATTAGTCGCTCTAATTTGATATTTAAAATTAATGAGCTTATGAAAGCAAAGGAATCTGTCAGAAATTTCTTATTAAATTTATTGTAAACGATAATTGATATCTCACGTGTATCTTTTCTATAGGTTGATGCATATAAAGTTACTGCTACTGTACATTAAAAGTTTCGTGTTCACCTGGTCGAGGAGTGACTCTTCTTCCGCGGCCTGCCAAAGTTCTTCTTGTCGTCTTTCTTGGGGATCAGCTTGGAAAGCTCTCTTTGCGTCTCCCTGTACTGTCTCTGGATGTCAGCCATTCTGACTCTCATGTCTAGCTCGGTAGCATTCATATTTGGCCAGTCATCGTCATCGTTCTCGCAATTCCCTTTTTTGGCTATGAACTTCTTTGCCTCTAACTTAGTCCGTATGTTTTTATAATCATGGGTGTCTCTCTCTTCGATGGACGCTTTTCGATTTTCAATCTCATAACTCGCTGGCTGATCAGGAAGAATTTTTGACTCAAACACTTCGTTTTCCGGCTCTGAAAAATCATCTTCTTTGCCAATCTTATCATTATGGACACCATTATTTTGTGAATTGACAGATATTTCATTTGAGGAAACTTGGAGATTTTTAATACACTTTGCGTCAGATTGATTGGAGTAACAATCCCTATCGAGAGACTGATCTTTCAAACTGGTGACAATTTTATTTGTGCTATTAATTTCCTTCTCAAAATCAAGAATACGTTTAATGTCCTTCAATTTCAGAGGAACTCCTTCTTGCTGCCTTCCTGTGACTTCCATCATATTGTCTTTTGATAAAGAAGCACCACACTTGATGTTCTCCCTTGATTTTGGAAGAGTTACTTCCTGTGTGTTCAAAATTTCCGTAGTCCTATCTTTGACGACGTCGTTACTAATTAAATCTTTCGATCTCTTTCGATGATTTTTTTCCTGCTGCCTTATCGTCTTATCCTCAACAATTTCGTCGTATTGAGTCGGTGACGATGCATTCTTATTAGTTTGCTCTTTGCAATCATCAAGTTTGGATCGTTTGGAATGATGCGAATCATCGATCTCGGCATGCTTTCTCTTGCTTCCGTCTTGCTCGGGATAATCTGGACCTCTGCCGAGATTCAACAATAGCCTACCGGCTTGCGAAATCTCCTCCGAACTTTCCAAATTTAATTTCCGGGATGCTTTGTCGTCCACTTCCATAATCTGCTCGGCTAATGCGCAGAGCAAGTTGAGAGAGCCGACGTTATTATTATTGTTCTCTCTAACAGGCGACTTTTCGACCGGTTCCGAATTTGGTTGCAATTGTTTCAGTTGACCGACTCGTTGCTCTAATTGTTCGATGCTGTTTGATAATAACTGGAGACCGCTCACGTCAATAGCCGGTTTTTGTTGGCTTTGGATTTTGGATTTCATCTCCGAGGACGCGTCCTCGGATTTGCAGGCTGTCTGCGGCTTTTCGATTGGCCGCACCTCGCGCCAAATGGTCTTGGGTTTGACATAGGCGGTGACTTCGGAGACGAGGTTCCTCTCGCGCTTAGTGAGCAGCTTCTTGTCGTCTTCGAGTGTCTTGATGTTGTTGTTATTGCTCCTGCTGTCGTTGTTGTTGTCGCCAAGCAAACATGTCTCGCCGGATATATTGCACGATCTGCTGCCATCATTCAAGTGTTTATCGTCCTTTATCAATGACGGATACTGTTCCGATTGATCTTGGACGATTTGTCGCTCCAACGTCATAGACTGCGACGAGGAGGAGACCTCGACATCGACGCCACTCTCCAGGAAGTTTTGGCTCGATCTCAAGAAATGCAGTTTCTTTGGGATCGTCTCGGAATATCTGCGCGATTTCACACTCTCCATGTTTGATTTCTCATTGGATTCGTCGAACTTTTGCGCGGCAGGTAACGCCGCAGCTTCCTGCAGCGCCGCCGCGTTCTTCTTCAACTTCTCCACCACATTCTCGATACCTGGATGATGCGATTTTTCCACCGTGTGCCTCTTTGTCGTCTCCGGTGATAATTTCTCGCAGCTAGGCAATCTGACTTTCTCGCTGGTGGACGTCGGCTCGCACCGAGATGACTCGTAACACACCTCGTAGCCGCTCTCGTCGGCCTCTTGCTTAACAACCACCTGTTGCGTGATCTCCTGATCGTCGCAATCGATATTGGGCATGTCGAAGGACTTTACTGTGATCTGAGGCCATGCTTCACCGCTCGAGATGTCTCTTGTGACACTTTTGTCGCAACTCTCGCAATTGATTTTCGACGACTCTGTGGAGTCGGCGGTGTTTGCCTTGGATCCGTTGAAGATTGGCGGCTCTGATGTCTTGGTACACGTTTGACGATGAACTTTAACGTTTTCCGCAGCATCAATAATTTTCGACTCGATCTAAAAGGTACGCGATATAATTCTAAATATTATACTAGAAAAAATCAAACCGATAAAACATGTATCTAATTTTGATTCGAAACATTAATAAAAAATTGAAATGTTTGAGTGTAAAATCGGTCATCAGAGTAGAAATTTTTGTCTACTCTTTAAAAGTGAATCAGTGTATTATCACTTATAACTGCTTGTAATCAGTGAGTATTTACTGTTTTTCAGTGATAATACACTGATTCACTTTTAGAGAGTACTTTACATTAATTGAAAAAAGAAACCCTTTTATAATTTTTTTAAATATATGCATTTATATATTTGTTGAGATTAAGAAGTAAACTTTGGCTAAAGATTTTACCTTCATCTTTTCATCAACCTTGGGCTCTTGTGCAACATCCTCTTCGTCATTGGGATAACTATCGCGACAATCGCGCTGATCCACGCTGATATCTCTTCTCCTCGCAAAGAACTCCAAATTCTCGTGAAAGCTGTCGCAGTTCTCTTCGGTAATCTCAATGATCCTAGCACCGATCCTGCTGCCCCTGCTACCGCAGATTGGTGTCTTGTCGTCCTTGCTGCAGATCTCCTCGTCCGTCCGAGTGTCGTGCTCGATCGCCTTGACGATCGCTTTACCGTCCTTTGTTGAATATTTGGCGCAATCGGCCATGTTGATGATCGTGTTCTCAGCCTTGTCCACCTTGGCGACGATGCCGCAGACGGTCGGATTCACCGTAGTCGTGGTCGTCGTGATCCTGACAACGTTGCAGATCCTCTCCGTTGGCGGTGGCGGTGCCGCGATCTCGAAATTCCCCGGATTCAACTGGGACGCGGCCTGGCAAGGACTCGGATTCTGTTCCTGCTTCACGAGCGGTTCCTGCTTCTGCTCCTCGGTATCCTCGGGCGCGTCGGTCTGATTCGAGGCATCCTGGACACTAAACGACGACGGCTCGAGCGCACGAATAGTTGCCGGTACTTCCGGAGGTGGCGTCAGGTACGAGACCGGCGACGTGGCCTTTACAAAAAAGGTATTTCCTTCTTATAGATTTTTTAGAAAAATTTTGGAAATGTCAAGAAAATATTCTCTCTACATTTTTCTTTATATCTTCTAATTCTTTACAAAAATAAAAGTATCATAAGCAGAATAAAAAGTTGTAAAATACAATTTTTTTTTAAATCTTGCACGATTTTATATGCTCCCTAATTCTTTCATAAATTAGTTAATTATTGTTCCATGAAAGCATCGAGAGTAATCTGTAAAATTCATTCTGCAAAACTAAAATAGAAAGAAAGAATCTTTGAATAAAAAGGGAGAAGGGAGAGATGAAAAGAGAGAGGAAGAAAGAGAGAAACGGACAGGGATACAGCGGTGATTATCTCAAGCTTCGGGCGCGGTCCAGCTATTCGCATAATGTGGAAACACTGCGGTACATTGTATTAGTCATCGGACGAGCCCGATTTGCATCAGACATCTGCATAGATATTGCGCCGGTCAGTTGGCGTAATAATTCACGCATGCATACGCCGTTTTAATATTGCTCCTAGATGTTTATAAACTCGTGTCGAAACACCTGAGAAACGCGCCTACCTGCGATCTGCAGTGCGTGGCAGGCTCCGCCTGGCTGATCTGCACCAGCGCCGGCGCCGGTGGATAGTAGTGCAACGTGGTGACCAGGGCCGCGTCCGGCACCAGGGCGCCGGTTACGGAAGTCATAGTCTGCAGTGCGGTCTTGGACGACTCGGTGGACGACGCTACATAATTGCATATGATGTAATATTTTGATGTAATATGATGTAATATTTGGAATGTAATATTTTGAAGCTGACTCTCTCACCGCATCACCATCTGGTGTTCAATTATCACTCGTACATATATAGAGTGAGTCTCATAAAAAGTTTACCACATTTTTATTGGAAACCATTAGAAGGAAAAGACACTTATTGTTAAAATTGCCAAAGAATCAAAGATTACTCAAGATCACTTTATAGTATGTTTCTCTATTTGCCTTACAATTTTGATAATTTTATGTCTTTCCCTTTATCCGTTTTTGAGAAAAAATGTGATGTTTTTAAACTTATATACAGAAATACAGATTCACTTATATATATGCACTGAGAAAAATCGTTTGATCGTATCGATAAGACGTATATATGATAGAAGATATTAAACCAAACAGAATTTCTAGTTATCACGATGAGACTCGATTTTTTACAACTAGAATATTTAATAAACTTTATTACAAGAATTTAGTTAGTATTTTCTAGTTTGATTTATGAAAAAATTTCTTATTATATTAATTAAACATGGACACAGTAAGGATACTTTTTTTAAAATTTAGTATTACTATCAAGAAAATTTGATAAATTTAATAGGAAGAAATTAATCATACTCGTCTAATAATTTTTAAAGAGAATTCTGATTCGTCCATTTTCCAACAGACATACTGGTTGAATCCACCAGATTTTTAATTAATGCAATCAAATTTTTTCGCAGTGTATGACTTTTTTTTATTGGAAAGAAATAAATTAATTCGTGACGTGTAATAAAGCGTAATATAGAATGTAAATTAATTTTGCCAAATTTTTGAAGGAAAAAAAAATATATATATTTCTACTTTATGAATTAAATTATTTCCTCCTATATTTTTCAAGAAAATTTTTCCTTATATTTTGGCAAGAAATAAAAGAGATATATTTCCTAGTTTACATTCGCCGTTACTAATGTCACTTTGAGAAAGAAATTTTTTTCCGAAAATTTTGTTTCCCTCTCTATCGGAAAAACACAATACATAAAAGTCTGCTCACTGATTATGGTGGTCGGACTGTTGCTGCATTCCGCCTCGATCTTGACGATCGGTAGCGCGCTTTGTTGCTTCCTCTTGCTTTCGGTCAACACCAGCCGCGCGCCGCCGATATCGCTCAGGAGCTGTATCGAGGGGGGCGGGGGCGGCAGCAGGAGCGGCGGCGGCGCGACGTTACTGTTGTGATTGGAGTAATTCGGCCACACCACGGCCTGCTGCATTTGTTCTGTCAAAAAAAGAAATACGAAAGAGTTGAGTCTCCTTGCCGTCATCGAAACTTGGGAATCGACAATGTTACGAAATGTTACGTTACCCGCAGCATGAATAAGAATAACGTGTCCGGATGGATCGCGGACCAGCTGCAAACCGCCCTGCAACCCGGAGCCCATTTGTGGGAAGCCGACCGGCTCCGTTGGCATCGCTATGAAAGCCAAATTAATCGTGTATTAATTTCGACTGTCTCATGTGTACGTGTGTGTGCTTTCGATTACATTTATAATACACTTTGAGCGCACGATGAACTTGACATAAAAGACCTAGAGGATTAGACTATCGTATTATTGTCCCAATGATCGTTATATAATTCTGTGAAATCCGGGATATAAAATAAAAAGATGTATATTATTACACCGTTACGATGCTATTATTATTGAGATATCGCGCAAAATTGGTCTTGTATGTCTTAACGCGCGCATTTTCATCTCACAATCCGAGCGCTTAATCGAGCGACGAATTAAACGAGTATGCGTGAATGATTTACGCGGTGCGAAAATACGCGCGCGCAAACGGCAGATCGGATGGCAATGTAGTTCAGTTGGCGTTATTTAGGATAAATGTCACTCGGTCAGCGGGACCGGGGAGGGAGGTCAGAACGCGAGGGGTGAATTCGATCCGAAATTGTATAGGGTCGCTCGTTAGTGGCCCGGTTAATCGCCCCGCGCTGACGGATGCGCGTAATACACGTCACGTGACGTTAATTAATTCGTACTTTTGTCCGCCGACGTGCTTCGTTTACGTCGCCAAAAATTTGGATGTCGCGCGAATTACGCAGCTTATTATTATAATCGTACCCGCGTAGCTCTCCTTCTTTTCCACGTACATTCCTATAATTATTTTTGCATATTTTTCGCTTTCTCTTCTCACCCTTTTTTCACAATTTTTTGCACTCTTTCAGTCTATGCGTTTTCATTTACTTCTATATTTTATTTTATTATTATTTTATTATTTGTTAATATATTTTGCTGTATTTTCAGCGAAACATTATTTATATTTACATGTATATTTCTACAACCAAAATTTCGACTATTACTAATTATTATTAACATAAAAATATTAGTATGAAAAAGAATCGAATGAACGTTGATAAAATTTTATATATAAATTGTATATCACCATTATCGAAATTGCAAACCTCACATTTTATCTTTTTTAATCGTCACTTTAATATTCAAGTGTTACGCCGTATCGCGATGATATCATATTAGAGATATGTAAATTTAGGCAATATTAATGCAAAACTTTGATCAAAGTAGAAAATAAGATATTCTTTTTTCGTATTATCTTTGATTGCGAGTGCTCATTCTGCGTATCACCGCATATGTAAATATAATTTGTCAATGCTTCAAAGTTGAGAGTCTTATCTCGAGAGATTATTTTATTCAATACGATAATGGCACAGAAAGCTGAATAAAACTAGGAATCATAATGATATAGAGGCATCCTTTTTAATTTTATTTCTATAGAACGTCTATTCAAGTTCATTTTGTAAAAGTCTCTGAAAATTCTTTAACTTTCAAGATTTTCTTTTATTAAAAATTCTAGGCAAAAATTTTTTTAGACGTTTCTTGGCTGCAATTTTGTAAAATTTTTTATTGTGTGCGCTTTTTAATGCTTTTCATTCTCATACGACAGAAAATAAAAACAAACCACTTAAATTTCAAATGCTAAATTTGAAAATATACTAAAAATAGCTGAATTACACCTTTTCATAAGATAAACATTTTTCACGTGCAAACATTTTTATTTTTTCATTACTAAAAATTACAATAAAAAAAAAAAAAAAAATATATATATATATATATATATATATATATATATATATACTGCATATTTTATACTGTGTATTAAAACATTGAATATGTAAACAGTGGTATAGATATACATTTATATATTTATAACATATTTTTTAAACACACGTACCGCAATCTGCCCAATTGATGGATCGGCGATTGCTCGCAGAACATAAGAAACATAATGATCAGAGGGAGAAAGATTTTTAAAAAATTTTCTCCGGCTTCCAATAAAATTCTGCACAAAAATCCCTGAACAAAATTCCAGGCTCTTTTTACCAGCTAATAATACCAGCTAATAAACACCTTGCAGCTTCTCTCCAAATGCATCATCTATTTAAAGGCTCGTACGTGTGGGAATGCTTCCGTGTATCATTATTCCCGATAACGATATTCGAACTACTCACCTGCGGCCGCTGCAGCCGGATACTGCCAGAGCGTGGGCGGCCACGTAGCGGCCGTGTCGGCCGCGGGTGCGCCGCCGATGTTGCCCAGGGTGGAATTCAGGCTGGAATTCAGACTGGAATTCAGGCTCAGCGAGGGCGCGAGCGCCCCGGAGGGAATGGCAGCCAGGTGGGCCGCACGATCCTCCCCTCCAGGCCCTCCGCAGTGCACCAGGGTGGTGCCGCCTACCGCCATGGCCGTGCTGGAGCCTGCAACGGGGACTCATCGCATCGGGGTTCGTCATCCACGCGGGGGTTGATCGACGAGGACGAGCCGCGCGCGCGACCAACGGAACTCCGGGGCCGCGAAACGGCCTCGTTCACCCTCTCCGTCGAGCGACGTAGGCGAGGAGCGATCGTACGCGGACGAGTATATTGGGATATATATCCAGGATATTTCGCATTCGAGGAATATTGCATAAATCTGGCGCGCAATATTTTAGATCGCCTCGCGTGTGCGCGCATCGTAAAATAATTTATGGCTTTTAATCATGATTATTTCCGTGGGTTTTAAACCGGACGCGGATACGCATACGTACAAATGCAAACTCTCGAGAATCATTTCATTTTTTTTTTACCTTGATATATTTAATACGACGTTCTTACCTGCGAAAGGATACTGCCGTTGGGTCTGTTATTTTTGCGACGATATTTCAGAAATAATATCGCGTTAATGAAAGGGCGAAAATTAATTTGCAATTTAAGAGATATCGACTATTTAATGTAAACAATTTTCGTTTCTTTTAGACTTGTTTTTTGCAAAATGAAGACACTTTTGTTCAACAGGCTCGAGCTATCGAAACCAATTAAACTTTTTATTATTCCGAAGGTCTGATTGTTGCCGAGATCCGCTAATCTAAAGTACTTTTAACCGGGCGACCCGCATATAGATCCGCCTCGTTGTTGCTGCGCGTGACACTAACGTGTCTCTAGACAGAGTTCTAGGCAACAGTAATAGCGGCGATATCCTTCCGCGGTAAATTACGCTCCGGACAGTGCAATAAGCAAGGTTACTCCTTCTTCGACGCTGATATCGAAGACGTTCAGCGCGGGAGAAGCTCGATAAGGATCGTGTGATCGATTTTAAAACCGTTCATAACAAACGATGCACGCCAGCAAACCTAAGCGAGCCCTCTTTAATTTTCGCTTTAGGATTGAAGCTTGCACGTAATCGCGTTACAAGGACATGCTGCATAATTGAACCCCGTACGTGTCGCAAACTTTCGAAAGGGATACTTGTTGAAAAATTTATTTTCGAGGTATTTTGATATTTTTCCGCGCGCAAAGTTGCCATCCAAAGAATAATGCGCAAATTTGTCATTTATGAAGTTTATCTAAAGTTCTAAATCTGCATCGCGAAAGAGCGGTAACGAAATTTGCTTTAGCGAACATATAAGTGGGACAAAAACGTCGTAATTCGATTCCAATTTAGCCGCATGAATCTTTGAGGAAGCGATCATGCTTTCGCAAGAAGGCAATCGCGCGAAACGCAAATTACATCTCACGAATAATTTCACAGGCGTGAACGCGTTTACTTATGCAACGCGGACAAAATTCATATTTTTACAAGGACATTGTATTAAGTATCTCCGACATTTCCATTTTTTCGCGACGAGTAAAATTCTACATACTCGTATCCTTTTTATACTCGCGTAAATCGCTTTATCGAATTTTATTACACGTTACGAACGGGGAGGATACCTTGAACGTGATCGCTCGCGACCCGGGTTCGGGAAGGGAGTTTCGTAAATCCCGAAGGAGCGGGAGACTCACCCAGACCGTCCGGCTGGAAATGATGATAGCTCGTGGCGTGATGCGACGTGTGATGACTTAGGGACACGTTGCGCATAGACGTCGAAGTCTCCTGATGTTGCAACCGCTGTCTCGCCACAGCGATGCCGACCGGTATGCCCCCGGCAGCCGCGTTCGAGACCGCTATTCCTGAAACGATTAGGGAAATCGCGCGTGAGAATCTACGGGAGACGCGATCTCGAGGCCGCAAACCGCCCGATGCCCTCGTCTTCGACGCCGCTCGTCAGGTTTGCGCGGGATAAAGACGGGATTCCGCGATCCTCGAAAGAACCCCTTCTTTCCTCGCGAGGGACATCGGGCTGAACGGGATCGATCTATCGTGAGTCTGCACAAATCACACATTTTTCATTCCTCGATTCGACGCGTTTCCGAGCAGAGATTAAGGAGAGGGGTAGCTTTTAAAGAGCTTGAAAGAATTTGAGCCACCTCGGGAGTCGGGGCTGTTGTAGATGCGCGAAAAAATATCCATCACTGCGAATAAGCGCGGAGATTATTGTCGGCTCGATAATTTAGAAAAATGAGGACTTTGGCGATTTCGAGTCCGTAAGCTCGTAATCGAAAGCAAACAGTTCGCATCGCGATACAGAAATTGCCCTCGAGCGGGGCAATATTTCCAATCGAACTTTCGATTCACGCGCGTTTCATATCTGATGTGCATTCGTTTAAATCACCGTCCAGATCTTCCCATTCCCATCCCGATTGGTCCTCTCGCGAAATACTTGTCGCGCGTTTCACCGAGAGGCAATTATACCTCGTAACACATTTGTATACATACGTGTATATATTTTAATCATCGCGTCCCTTCAGTCTCCCTCATTCGCCCTTTCGTCCGCTTTCGAGACGAGCCTCGACATTTTTACTTTGGAGAAAAGAGGATCGCGTCGCGATTCATCGACGCGCTCGAAAATGCATTCATTTAGATCGTCAACTCCAGATCTCGCCCCCCCCCCCTCCTCCTCGCCTCACCTTCCTCCTTTTCTTCCTGCCACCTCGTCGTCCCGGGCGGCCTTCGACGTTACGCTCGCATGACGTAACACGTGCGGGCATCACGCACGCACCCGGGAACCGGTGCGAGAGCGCGAATGTGTCGGGACCGGCCAGGAGGAGAGAGGGTCGAGACTCTTTCGAACCACGCCTTGTGTTTGCGTCGCCATGCGTGCCACGCACCTCCTACTTTAACGAGACTATCTGCCTCTGTTTCTCTTTTTTCTTTCCTTTTCCCTCTCCTCCTCTCGCCTTCTCCTCGTTCTTTTCCTCTCGTCGTCTCGCTCGCGAATCAACCGACCGGTCCTCTCGCGCGATCTCGTCTCGCGTAGTCTCTCTCTCTCTCTCTTTCTCTCTCTTTCTTTCTTCCTTTCTCGCTCTCCCTCGTCCTCTCTCTCCCTCCGTGCGCTCCCTCGACGTTTGCGCACCTATCGAAAAAAGCGCCGCGCTCAAGCCGCGACGAATTTCCGCGTAGTCGATGAAAAATACGATTACGTCGATTCGAACGTATTTTCGACAGATAAGAGCCTTGTGTTTACGCGGATGGCGCAAACAGCCGCGATCATCGCAAACCGGCGAACGGCGATGAACAACGCAATTATCTTTGATTTTGTAATCGCATCTTATTCATGTATCTCAATCAAGATTTGAAAAATATCACGTCATCTATAAACTACGGCTACGAGAAATGCGATTGCGTCGATTCGGATTACGTTTGAATCTCGGAGTAAATTGACGACGGCGTAATTATGTCTCTCGCGAATTTTCAAAATATCTCGCATTTCAACCACGCGTACGTGAAAGACGTGTATTAAATTGCTATATCGACAATTATCCGTATGATTGTCGAGAAACGCGATTACATCTTCGATACCGAGGATACGTTTTTTACCTGTCGAGCGCAATCTTTTATCGCGCGATTATTGCGATTCGATTGCGGCCCGTCTTGTCCGCGAGCTATCTTGATATATATTGACGTAAATATAATGCCCGTCGATTTTCATCGCGCATCTGCCGCTAATGACACGATTGTCGCGCGATACTCGGATACGTAAAGAGACCGAGACGGCTCGACAAAGACACGCGATAAACTCGATACCTCTTCTACGGCAATTAACTCGGACTAGGGTTCTCGGAAGCATCGCTCCGCGTATGAATAACCGACTCTTTTCCATACGATAAGCACTTACCGTTCTCGGACTTGGGTGGAACGGGCTCGATCTTGACGGAGGTGGTGGTGGCGTGTAGAGACGTGGAAACCTCGGCGACTTGGCACGGCACCGAAGCCAGGGGTTCCCTCTTGACCGTCAGGCTGGCACCGTTACTGTTGGCACCCGCGTTACCGTCCTGCCCGTTCCAAGACGAGGCGACAGGTAGCGTCCTGCTGCATCCCACGTCGGAATGCACCACTTTCGTCTTGCCTGGAATTGGTCGTTTTCCCGATCGTTAGTCGCGAAAGTATAATCGAGAGCCTCTTGCAATTCAGTTTGCTCTAACAAGAAATCTAGAATTCCAAGAAGAATGAAAAGTTGAAAGTTCAACGAACCAAAGTACAGCTTCAGAGGGACTAGAGAAAGATTCAAATTCCAAGGTCTGCACTGAGAAAAATCGTTTGACTGTATCAACAAGACGTATATGATTGAAGGCATTTTGATTAAATCAAACAAGAATTTCTAGTTATCGTGATGAGACTCGATGTTTTATAACTAGAACGTTTCATAGATTTTACTATAAGGATTTGGTCAGTATTTTCTGGTTGGATCTATAAAATTTCTCGTTACATTAATTTCTTTGCTTGCTTCTTAACTTAACTCGTATTCAATATTTGCCACAAATGTATATAAAAAACTAGTATTACATTAATCAAGTATATTTTTTTCTTACGACAGTAGTGCCAGAAAGAACGCTACTCTCTGATTGTTTGTTACTGTATCTATTTCTTGACATAATTTCTTTGTTGCTTCTTAATTAACTCGTATTAAATTTGCAAAATTATAAAAAAATATAACAAAAAAATAATCTTTTTTTCGACATATCAAAAGAAAGTAATCTTGATTTTTTTGACTTTTTTTTCATCACTGTTTATCAGTTTAATTTCTAACAAACTGAACTTGAAATAATTTATTCAATAATCTGGATTGAATTTATGCAATAATCGTGTTGGAATTCAGAATACTAAACAGACTTTTGAGATTAGATGGAAAAAATTTTAGACGACTTGGTGCTGGCGAGTTTAGTATTATTAGCCAGAAAATTTGATAAATTTAACAGGAAGAAATTAATCAGATTCATCTGGTTCGTCCATTTTCCAACAGACATAGTTGAATCTATCAGAATTCTAATTAGTGCAACCAGATTTTTTTCTCAGTGTTGCATTACTGTTTATCAGTTTAATTTCTAACAAACTGAAGTTGAAATAATTTATTCAATAATCTTGTTGGAATTGAATTTATCCAATAATCTTGTTAGAATTGAATTTATCCAATAATCTTGTTGGAATTCAGATTACTAAACAGATTTTTGAGATTAGATGGAAAAAATTTTAGACGACTTGGTGCTGGAGAGTTTAATATTATTAACCAGAAAATTTGGTAAATTTAATAGGAAGAAATTAATCAGATTCATCTGGTAATTCCTACAAGAATTCTAGTTCGTCCATTTTCCAACAGACATACTGGTTGAATCTATCAGAATTCTAATTAATGCAACCAGATTTTTTTCTCAGTGTTGAATCACTGTTTATCAGTTTAATTTCTAACAAACTGAACTTGAAATAATTTATTCAATAATCTGGATTGAATTTATGCAATAATCGTGTTGGAATTCAGAATATTAAACAGACTTTTGAGATTAGATGGAAAAAATTTTAGACGACTCGGTGCTGGGTAGTTTAATATTATTAACCAGAAAATTTGGTAAATTTAACAGGAAGAAATTAATCAGATTCATCTGGTAATTCCTACAAGAATTCTGGTTCGTCCATTTTCCAATAAACATACTGGTTGAATCTATCAAAATTCTAATTAATGCAACCAGATTTTTTTCTCAGTGTTGTATCACTGTTTATCAGTTTAATTTCTAACAAACTGAACCTGAAATAATTTATTCAATAATCTGGATTGAATTTATGCAATAATCGTGTTGGAATTCAGAATATTAAACACTTTTGAGATTAGATGGAAAAAATTTTAGACGACTCGGTGCTGGGGAGTTTAATATTATTAACCAGAAAATTTGGTAAATTTAACAGGAAGAAATTAATCAGATTCATCTGGTTCGTCCATTTTCTGACAGACATACCGGTTGAATCTATCAGAATTCTAATTAATGCAACCAGATCTTTTTCTCAGTGTGGATATACGAAAGAATGAAAGATCCGAGAGATCCAAAAGAAAAGCTCGGGCTGATGCAAAGATCAAGATTCAGCGGATTTTTCGTACCGTTGCTGTTTCTGCAGTGGCACGAGGCTGACATCCTGGTCGATTTGTTCTCCAGCTTCACCGGTTGGCCTTGACTGGGTAGAAAGGCCTCCCGTTTCTTCGTGGTCGCTTGAACGGCGGCGGCCTGAACGGCATGACCAACACCAGTAGCAGCACCGTGAACCAGCATGCCGCTGGTCGTGCTGCTGGTGTTGGTCAGGCACGACGAGTTGGCCGAGTTGACGGTGACGTTGCATCCCGTCGCCGCCGCCGTCGCACCTATCGGCGGTTGGTACTCCTGCAAAAGAACGCCCGTCGTCGACGCGACGCCGTTGGCCGAGTTCGGCGACGAGAAGCTGTTGATGGTCAGCGTCGGCGCGCCGCCGGTCACCAGGGACAGCTGGGGCGAGAACGCGTTCTGATGAAGGCCGCCTTTCGCCGAATGCGGAAACACAAGAAACCCCGCGTTATTCTCGAGGCGTGAATTATCGCGTCGCGACTAATCGTGACAATTTACGCGCGTTTCCGCAGCGCTCGATATCATGCCGATAATGCGAGATAATTCCAAATGGCACGGGGAGGGGGGGGGGAGCGTTTCCGCGTGGTTGCGGCGGAAAAACTCGCCTCGCGACCGTTTTTCAGGCTCCAGATGCTTTCTCCGCGCGGAAAGTGCCACGAGGTGTATGGGAGGAATCGCTAACCGAGCAAAGAAATGAGATGGCTATCTGTGCGAGAGATTTTAATTCGTTCCCCTTATATCAGTCCCATTTCTTCGCCTCGCTTATCAGATTCCGCTGATTAGATTCAAGTTCTGACTAATATAAGATGAGAAACTCGTAGAATGCAACGCGACTTGTAATGCCAATCATTCCACTCTCGATAACATTATGAAATCAGAGAGATGTACTCATTATACCTGATATTATTTATCGTGTGAATTTCTTCCTGTCTATTGCATAACAACATTTTACAATTGCTTTTCGTAAAAGATGTTTCAAAAATTACCCTTAAAAGATGTCATTTCTCTCGTTGTTTGGCAACAGAGAGAATTTTCACATCGTTCATTTCAGAAGGGAATCTTACACACTCCATGATATCCTCCTCCGAATCCCCTTATCAGGGCGACAAACGTTCTCTTACCGTGATGCAGGTGGTGAAGCCCGGTGAGGTTGAGGGTGTGCTGGGTGTGCTGCGTATGCTGGGCGTGATGGAGGCTGCCGGCCACGTTAACGCCGACACCCTGTAGACTCAGGGCCTGCTGGCCCGCGGCCGCGGCCGCGGCCGCGGGCGCCAGGTTCGCCAAGTTTTTCGCCAGTAGCTCCAGCTGCGTCACGGGCACGGGGCTGTAGGGCGATCCCGGCGGGGGCGTGGGAGCGCCCCAGGTGTAGCCACCCACCCCGACCCCGACCGCCGCGGAAAACACGCTCTCTGAAACTGGAGAATCCGCCGTCGCCGATTAATCGACCCGCCTTACCGCGAACGAACGATAAGCGTCCGCTGTTTCGTCCCCCCACCCCACCCCCCGCGAACGGGAAAGATACGGTATTTCGCGATTCTAGATCCACTCGACGATACGTGTCAATTCGTACGACACTTTTGCAGAATGTTTTTTCAGAATGTACCTCTCGTAGCATAAAATTTTCTTTACTTGTGTAATATCGCGTGTAGTCTCTGAAATATTGAAATTTTCGCAGAAAAATACAGTGTCCAACGGAAAAACATGGAAAAGTTGAAATTTTCGGGAAATTATATGAAAAATGGGGAAATTATTATGGAATTTAATGGGACTTGGAAAATTGTTTAAAAAAAAAAAACTCTGATAATTTGCTTTCGCAAATATCGACAATTGATAAGCAATATACAATTTAAAGTGTACACACATTTTTATCTCTATATTAAATGTCTCAGTACATTGATAATATATAATATACGTTCTTTATTTTAATTCTTAATGATAAAAAATGAAAATATTATGTCAGTGAAAAATATTTATTTTACGAAAATTATTCAGTTTTTTTCAGTACATTCAAATAAATCTAACATTTGAGTAACTTGGTGATTTTGCGTTTTTCTTTTATATGAGAACATTGGAAAATGCATACAATGAAAATCTTATTTTATGGAGAGATAACGCAAAAAATTTTTTAAATATTCTCTTTATTTAGAGTTTTTAATAAAATACCCGAGAGACAAGAGGGGATTCAGGAGATTTGAGAAAATTTTCAAATAATTTCTTACAAGACTTAATATACTAGTAGGTACCTTGAAATAAGAAAACTTGTTATTTTCAATTATTAATCAAATACGCGAGAGAGAGATTTAAAAATTTATAAAATACGAGTATCTCTTGAAATAGATATTTTGATCCCATATTTCATTAATAATTAAAATTCCATATTTTATCGATAATTACTCTAACCGAATATTTTATCGATAATTAGCCAACTGCAGTTTGCGGAAAAACAAAAAAAAAGAAGTATAGTGCTGGAATAGATCGGATATTAATATTTTTAAATCCGCGTTTCGCAGGGAAAACGCATTATTCTTGCGAGAGAGAGAGAGAGAGAGAGAGAGAGAGAAAGAGAGAGAGAACGCGACGTTCCATCAGAGCGCGCGGCAGCGCGATATATCTTCGGCAGCGCGCTGCGCCATCGCTAGGACTATTGATTTTATCTAAATGCGGATACGTATCTGCCTATGCAAATTAACGTGTGTGAAAAATACCTTGATATCTGCAACCATGCGTACGGAATTGACTGCCGTTAGCGGACAATGTCGGAAATGTCAATCTCTTAAAGATGCATTTTGTCAAAATTTCGCATTTACATCTGTCTCAAAAATATCCGAATTAGTGCTTTATGGACAATGCGACTAGTGCTATTGAAAAATGATTATTCAAAGTATATCCATTTGGAGAAATGCATTCTTCGCTTCATCTCAAAAAGCTTCCGGAAACATCTCTTCTCGTTTTCTAACATTGAAAATTGCCTCGAATTCGATCGGTCAAAGTCTTTTAAATTTCAGAAATCGTATTAAAACATTATTCTTTCAGCTTCTGTTTAAATTTCGGAAATAAAAAGTACTGAAAGCGTGTTAAACCGTTTGAATCAAAAAAAGCAACGAACTGTTTCCGATTGTTGCACTCGAACTTTTTTCGATGTTGGCTCATGTTTCTGTTTCTAAATTAAGCTTTGACGCTTTGTCGAGGTCCTATTGAATCGCTTTGAGCGTCTTCGAAAATAATTTTTTAATTAAACGCAACATTTAACATTTGCTCTTTGATCCATATCGTTTTTTTCGACAAACATTAATATTTTAACAATTATTATTTTCATTTTTCTCGTTATAACAAATATAGCGCGGCTAAACTTAAGATAACTGTAGTATTAGGAAAAAGAGCTACTTGTCATTTTAATAGATGGTCCTGTTTGGCGAACAATAGGTCGGGTATTTTTGGGACGGACCGTGTATATCTGCGATTCTTTTCTTGTCAGGCTCGACTTTATACTTACTTGTCCTTTCTGCATCCCAACGAAGCGTGAAAAATAACGTTAGTGAAAATTAGAAATTGCAAAAGTGAAATCTTTACCGGGGGGGGGAAGTCGTTTTGAGATTTATGGAAGGCTCGAAAATTCGCCAGCTTTCGATTAGCGATGCAAGTTTTATATATAAATAGCGTTTTTTCGAAAAGGGACGCGAAAGTCTTTCGCCGGTCGAGCCTCTCAAAACTCACAATAGAGCAATTACGCAATTAAAAGCTCGCAAGAGGACGCGGAGAGAGAGAGAGAGAGAGATTGAAGAAAAATGCGCGCCTAAATAGAATTGCCGCGTGTCCGGTTGTCGCGTAGACCGTTTCCCTTGCCTCGCGCATCCCTCTTCCTTCCTCAGAATCTGCTCAGGCCCTAACAACCTCATTGTCCGAGGTGTAACCCAAAACGCGGGCTTCGTAAAGCGACGTGGTGGTAAAGTAGACGAGCGGCAGATTCCGGAGAAAGAGAGAAAAGGCGACGCGCAGGGACCCGGAGGGTCGATTCCCCTCCTCCCTCTCGGAATCTTGTCGAAAATGGAATCTCCGGTGAGATTTCAATTATCCGAGGGAGGCTCGAGCCGTCTTGTCGCCAAAAACGGTCGGGAAAATCGCGAGGATGGCCAAGCTCGATCTAAAAGTGATTCCTAATCGGTTCCTTCGATCAAACGTTGTCTGATCTTATGCGGTTCTTTATCGAGATCCACTTCGATGATATTTATATTATACACTCAAAAAAATGTTTTGCTAATGTAGGTAGATTTCTAGATGTTGCAACCAAAATTTATCGCTATTTTTTGTATCTGATAGAATATCGTTTGTCACAGAATTTATAGCAGTAACATTCTAGCAATATCTGCTAGAAAATTTAGGATTATATATTCATTTGTTCTTGCTGCTAGTATTTTCTGTGTACTACAGCCAAACTTTATAAGTATGGATTGATCATAACATGGATAGACGCCACAGAAAAACTTTCTTTCTAAATTTCACAAACAGTTCAGATATAAATTCTGTCTCTGTCATTTAGATTGATTACGTGCAACATAAATACGATATTACAATATTTGCTAATCGTTTATCTGCTTCAGTTAATTTTTCGCACCTAGAAAATTTTTGCTACAGTTGCAAGATCATTTTTTTGAGTGATTGATTTTTATAACATATATAATCGAGAAAATACATATTTATGGAAAATATTGATGTTTGGACGCGTTTTAACGGAGGAGAAAACATGTTTGTGAAAATTTACAGGGGATCAATCTCGAACATTTTCGATTATTTTACATTTTGCACAAGACGACAACACAATTCTTGACGCGCGATTCCTTCCCGAATTTTTGCGTAAAGCACGTAAAACGCGTTCGCGCGGCAAGAAGTGTGTAAACGACGCGCGGCCTTGAAAGAAAACGAAAGAGAGGAAGTCGTTGTAAACTTACCCTTGTGCGTCGTCGCGTGATAAGCCCGTGCCGGCGTCGGTTGCCCGGGGGTGGCAGGAGTAGCGGCGACGTAACTGCCCCCGCCACCCCCTGGGAATAACGAGTACAGTCCGTAGCGGTTCGCACCTATAACATCATTAAGATATCGGAGAGTTTATAATTAATCCAGGCCAAATAATTCAACGACACGCGACAAAGTCACGATCGAGAGACACCTAAATCTCGATTCGATTACGTAAACTGTGTATCCCCGAGAGACGCATTAAAACTATATAAAAATGGAATGTAAAATCTACCAATTGACACGACTGATATCTCTGTTTCCTAAACATCCCGATAAAAAATACAGCTCGTTTTTTCCTCATTCCCCGGATATGCAACTATTATGTAATAAAGGACGGAAAAGATTCGATTATTTCGCTTCTCTTTTTTTTCTCTGCGTAATATTTGATATTCAACATGAAAAAAAATAAAAATATGTGTCGGTTTATCTTTTCGTGTCTATTGTTAACGCCTTGTTTTACACGCCTTGATTAAACTATGAGTTTTCTGCATCAATCATATTTTGATGTGTACAATTTTTATCGGATGTAATAACATTTCTACCATCTTGTGCGTATTTTTAATTGCCATATGCAAAAAGATTATCAGAATTTCATCTTCAATTTCCCTGATGAACCGTTATGGATGTTGCAAAATGATTGTCAATGCACAAGATATGTATAAATAATATGTATAAAAATTATCATAAAATTATTAAAAGCGATACATATTAGCATAAAACCCGCTTCTCATTAAAATTTATGCTAATTTGAAGATGGACTAATTTGGAAAACAAATAACTCATTATTTATACGACAATCATAAAAATGCTTATAATAATGTTTCCTCCAATTTGTCAACGAATGATAATCAATAATCTGAGTAAATGCACATTGATTTAGGTCAAGTATAATATATAAATGTTATATAACATACAGCTAGTGGTATACCAAGTTATACGAACGTGAACGTCAATATAACAAGAAAAAAAAAAGATGAATATTTGATAAATATTTTAAAAATATTATAAAAGAGGAATATCGTATTTTTCTGACGTTTCTATAAAAAAAATATTGCAAAAAATAAAAAAAAAATTCTTTGCCGAAACCCGGGATTGAACCGGGGACATTTAGATCTTCAGTCTAACGCTCTCCCAACTGAGCTATTTCGGCACACGATAATTGTAACGTACAACTTAAATTCGAGTTATCGAGTATATAAAGCATGATAAGTTTATTACATATCAAGCGTAAACGACCTCCGATCAATAGTAAATGTTACGTAACGCGTCGTAAAAAAAAACAAAATACATAAAATATGGAGCATTTTTCATCTACACTGAGAAAAAAATCTGATTGCATTAATTAGAATTCTGGTAGATTCAACCAGTATGTCTGTTGGAAAATGGACGAATCAGATGAATCTGATTAATTTCTTCCTGTTTACCAAATTTTCTGGTTAATAATACTCGCCAGCACCGAGTCGTCTAAAATTTTTCCATCTAATTTCAAAAGTATGTTTAATATTTTAAATTCAACAAGATTATTGGATAAATTCAATCCAGATTATTGAATAAACTATTTTAAGTTCAGTTTGTTGGAAATTAAACTGATAAACTCTAAGTGATGCAAGAAGAGGATGCAGCTCAAACATCCACAATCAGAGAGCTAGCGTCCTCTTTCTGGCACTACTGCTCATAAGAGAAAAAAATATGCTTTGGATTTAATGTTAATACTAGTTTTCTTTATATACATTTTATGGCAAATATTGAATACGAATTAAGTTAAGAGTGGCTCGCCGTCTAGCGGCAAGCAAAGAAATTAATTAACAAGAAATTTTATACATCCAACCAGAAAATACTAACCAAATCCTTATAGTAAAATCTATTAAACGTTCTAATACGTATAAAAAAATCGAGTCTTATCATGATAACTAGAAATTCTTGTTTGATTTAATGAAAATGCCTTCAATCGTATACGTCTTGTTGATACAATCAAACGATTTTTCTCAGTGTAGCTTACGACAAGATCTTTTCTTAGCATTTATTTTTCGCATTTTCGTGAATATTTAATATCAAAAAATTCGCTGATGTCGAGAGGAAAGAACAAAGATTAGGGTTAAGAATAAGATGCGAGTTTCATCGATACATCTTATTCGAGTGAAAATCCTCTCGGAGCTTAATCTCCGGATTATTACGCCGCCGCGAGATAATAACAATAATTGATACACACATACATGTATAAACGACGTAATGCGAACCTTGACTGTGAGCGGGCGCAGGCGTAGCGGCCAGGGGTGGTATACCCTGGGCCTGTTGATTGGGAACCTGATTGGGCTGCGCAGGTGCTAAAGGCCATAGGGTCGTAGCGGCGGCGGTGCCAGTTGTCGTCTGCTGCGCCCGTGCCACCGTGTCCCCCACGGGACGATCGCCGGTCCCACCTTGGGCCACGGGAGGGACCAACATCGAACCACCCCCTCCCGAGGCTGCAATCAGAGTATCGAGAAAAAACGCACGGCATTAATCTCAATTTCACGTTGGAGAGAACGGATGAGCGACAGGGACATGGCGATCTTAATTTCGAGCGAGTCCCAATCGGACGCGATACTTATCGGCCAGTTGAAAATGAAGACTTTCGATTGGTCAGTCAGTACTGGTTTCCCTAGGCACCGATCGATAAAAGTGGTGCGTCCGATGGGGACTGTGCGCAATCGGGACGATCCCCTAATTTTAATCGAGTTGCTTCTCTCCTCGAAAGATTTTCCGTTGTTATTCGCGTCGCATGACATTTTCACATCCCGTTCGACTTTGAAATATTCCGACGATTCCGAGAAGCTCGAGTTTCGAAGCAAAATCTCGTTTGAAAAATAACATCGATTCGCAAGAAACTTTGGCGGAGATACTGCTTTGACGTTTCGAGTAAGGGGAAAAGGTATCGATTCAAAATTGAACAAAGAGTCATTAGAGCTATGATTAGTCGTTCCCGGACACCCCGTAGATACATGCGTGGCAGACCGTAGTCGATGCCTATAAATTCTCCTAGAGTCTGAGGTAGAAAATAACGTATCGGCTGAGATACGAGGCGAGAAATTACTTATACTTTTAAATTATCGAGTTAAAAATATCGATGCCATACTATATCAAAGTATCGATACTGCGATATCGCGGTATTTCGAGTCGAGAGAGTGGCCTCGCGTGGAGGGAAAAGTCAACTCGAAAAAGGATCGAGACTTAAAAAGAGAAAGAAAAGAAGGAGAGAAGACGTGGAAAAGAGACAGCGGATGGAAAATGGAGATTGAAAAAAGAGAAACGAGGATCAGGGGAAGGCATCAAAACGCAAAAGAGGCCGAAACGAAAAATATAGAACGGTATCAATGAGCTAAACGAGGAGGAGCACGAGAAGGCGCATACGAGAAGGACGGGGGGGGGAGGAGGAAGGGAGTTCCGTTTCGAAGCGGCGGGTGGATTAGGTCGGAAGGAACAGTGGAAGGGTGGGAGGTAGGAAAGGGTAGCAACAGGTCGGCAAGCATAATGTAGTCTCTTAGAGATATACAGGGTGACGCGTCCAAGGGTGTACGCATGACAATCATCGTAGATCGATACATCCGGCCTCGAGATCACTTGCTGTTTGCCGCGCAATCTTTCGGCTTTGTTTTTAATAAAGGAATAGTTTTATTTTCCCAGAGTAACAAGTGTAAATTGAGCAGTTTAAAAGAGATCGATCCTTCTTTGCTTAGATTTAACGCCGATAAATTTTTCTTCCAGCTTTTAAAACTAGTTATTATTACACCAGACTTGGTCTTGAGAAAATCAGATTAATCGATGCAGAAAACAGACATAAATTTCGTGCTCTTAGGAATGTGTCAGGAATGCAAACGGTTGATTAAAATCAGCTCTTACCTCCACGAGAAAAAAATCTACAATGGTTGGCAAACGAGATTTATCGTTAGATTGAATTGCAAAATACGATTGAATCACGTCGTTTGCATGAAACATCTCTCGTCGAAGCGCGTCGATTCTAATTAATAAATTTTCATCTACGATGGACAGCTTTTGGGACAAAAGTACACCGATACACGCGAGATGCAGCGCGCAATTGTATTTATTACATCGCGGAGTAAAAGTTTGGCGCCGCCAAGGATTAATTTCCGACAACGCCTACGACACAATGCAACGACGTAACCGGCCGCATTAGCGGGAACGTAATGAATATCACGCGCGCCATTTTCATAAGAAACGTAGCGACGGCGGGAGAGAATTATACAGTCGAGTTACACGAGTACAAAGTTAATCGCGATCCTTGACGCGCCCTCGCGTGCGCTCGGTCATGCGTGCACGCACGCGCTTACGCATAAACCGCTTACGCGGAGAATCGCACGCACTCGCCCTCGATCTCGCCGCGTGCAATAACGACTAACCGCCAATAACCTGTCATTCCGCGGGTATACATCGTGGAGGAATACACGTGGCGTGCACCGAAAAAATTGTATTCTTCAAATGTATACTTTACAAGTCCTCTTAATAAATATTCTTAATAAATAAGAATATATTCCTAATGAATAAGAGTATATTCTTAATTTGCGACTTCTGCACCGCAACTCGATTTTCGTGCGCGCGACATTTCTTGCCGCTACGCGACGACGTCACTCTTAATTCTTCTCGTATTCAATATTTATCATGAAATGAAATGTATATAAAGGACTTGTGTTAACGTAAGATCCAAAGTATATTTTTTTCCCTCAGCAGTGATGCGAAAGAGAGAACGCTGCATAGGTTCTCTGTGTGCATGCGAGCCGCATCCTCTTTGACATCACTGTTTATCAGTTTAATTTCAAGCTGAAATTAAAATAATTTATTTAATCTGGATTGAATTTGGGATTCCATGTTGGGATTCAGAATATTAAACAGATTATTTGAAATTAGGCGGAAAGAAACTTTTAGACAAATAATTAAATTTATTTGACTTCAACAAAATTTATTAAATCCAAAGAATTTTTTTCTTAAGAATATTTCTTTAAAAGATTTTCCTCTTAACTTAAGAGGATCCTCTTGACGCCTATTTTAGTGGTATATATTATAAAGATAAGTGGCATATTCTTAAGTTAAGAATACAATTTTTTTGGTGTATAATCGACCAGCTCTCTCTCTCTCTCTCTCTCTCTCTCTCTCTCTCTCTCTCTCTCTCTCTCCCCCTCTCTCTATCTATCTATCTATCTACCTATCTATCTATCTATCTATCTATCTATCTATCTACATGTGTACAATAGAATATTTTGGTGGCAAATGCAAAGATTTAAATTCGGACAATCTTTTTTATACATCATGCACGTTCAAAATGCGCATGATTTAAAATCATCGATTTATCTTTTACTTTATCCAGATGCGTGCGCGAATAAATCGTTAATATGGAAAAAATATGTCGACGACACGGGATAAAGTGACGTTCTTCCTGGAGAGATTTTTTTTTTTTTTTTCAAATAACCAACCACAGTTCTGGATTTTTGTTCAGAGTCGATTTTTCCTCGACGGAAACGGGATGGGATATTCAAAAACTGATAAGCGATCGAAAATAAAGCTACTCGTAACTCGTGCCGATAAAGCACCATCTGACGTAAGCCCGTAGGAACTTATCTCGCCTCGACCGCCCGATCGCGCGCCGTAGAAATCTGGTCGCGTGTTTTACAAACACCCCGTACGTACGTGTCGGCGTGCGATAAATAAATGGTGATGACGAAAAAGTCGACGACGCGCGAGGGGAGGCAGAGACGCGGGGAGAGGAGGACGCGTTCCGAAGGAGGCGAGGTCTCGACAACGGCCTAATTTTTCATTTCCATCGCTCCCGCCGCCAGCAGCGGAGCGAACGACGGGGGCGGGAAGGAGGGAGGGGAGGGAGAGGCGGGCGGAGAAGGGAATGCAAGAGAGAAGGAAGAACAGGTTTCCAGGTCGATAGGGTACCTAACGCGGGGCCCTACGAGCCCTGCGCGTCTCTACCTGACGACGCGCGGGGCCCTCTCCACGCGGAGGGAAAATGGTGAACAGGTGCTCGTAAAAATCTGACACCTCCGACTTTTCTTGTTCGCCCCCCCCCTCCCCCCGCCCGGTTCCCCATCCCATCGACGGGACGAATTACGGGGTCGGGACTATCGCGAGTCTCTCTCTCCTCCTTGGCACGACTCTGATTACGTCGCGATCAGCGGGAATCTCGCTCTTCAACTTCCGCCTTTTTTTTTCTTTTTTTTTCGTTCGACGCGCGCGGCTGGCGCGCTATCGCCCCATCGCCGAGGAAACCTAATTTCGTTATGAATATTTTACGCCGCGCGGATGTAACGATGTGCGCAGTTTCTGTAATTCCGAGGAATCAATCGCAAGAGTGATTATAAGTGTCCGTATCTCGAAGCGGCGAAACAAGGCAAACGGATTTTACAATCTTCTCTTTGTTTCTTATTCCTCTTTATTACACACGATGGAGATTATTAGAGAATCGAAGAAGAGAATCGCGATCGTTTTCCTCTCCATCTCTCCGAGATGGATTATTTCGCTTTCTGCCTATTTCTCCGAAATTCTCCCGCGGGATCTAGAGACACGCATGCGTCTCTCTCTCAAGATCTCCACCTCCTTCGATTGTTATTCATCAACTAATACTCGTCAACAATCGCTCGTTATTTACCGCGCAAGAATGATCGAAAAGCGCCAATGCCTGATTTCCGATAGCCCGTCAAAACTCAACCCCGCGAACCACGCGGATGAGGGTTAAGGAGTCTCCCCTCTCTCTCACTCTCTCTCTCTCTCTCTCGCTCATGTGTGCGCGAGTCAGGGGTCGTGCACGCTCCGCTCCGCCGTCGGTGGGTCGATATATGCAGCCCAGGCGACGGGGAAGAGGGTAGCCAGGATTCCCGCGCGCGCCACCCTCCCTTCCCCCCTCCCCTCGCCCCCGCGCCACCCCGCCCACCCCGCGCGCGACATGACAGGGGCGACCGAGCCGAGCCGGCTGTCATTTCCACATACAGCCCCGCGCTATTCCGAGGACCGAAATTTCCGATCTTTAACAACGCGCCGCGCAAAAGACGCCGTTTTCGCTTCGCGGAATCTGCAATCTCTTTCGCGCGATCGGGAAAATTTTTCGCTCACCTGAAGAAACCGACGAGCGAAAATCGAGATTTATGGGATTCGCGATTCCGACTGACTATTCGTTTCCTCGACGATTCGAGAATATCGATCGTCTCGAGACGTTGAAAGAGATGCAAATCGAGTATTTTTGCGTCGTTCGCCGCGAGCCCCTCTCTCTCTCTCTCTCGTTTAACTCCCGTTCTGGAAATTATTCCGGCGTGATTAGAAACGCGTTTCTCGAGACGCGGCCGCGTTCGTTCGTGCGGCTATAAACCAAGATCCGAGAGGCCGAATCCTGAAGGCCTCTTTAAGCCTCTTCAGAGAAGGCCCGAGAGTAGAGGAGGCTCGGTTCGAGAGGACAGGTTCTTCGTCCTTGTTC